TTTGGCAAAACTTTTCAACACTCAGTTCTAAAACAATGCAACCAGACCTTCACACCCACCATGGATTCACAGCAACTATCCCTGTTAAAATATACAAAAGAATATTAGGTCATCCCAAACTAAGTCATTACTGTGGCCGGAAATTAAAATCCCATTAAGTAGCATTTTGTGGTACAGGAAGATTGCGTCAAGCCTTTGTCTGGCTGGGGAACAGGGCTCATGAAGAGACAGGGGATCCTGCTTCCGAACTCTTCTACCTCATTTATTTCCAGTCTTAATTTCCATGTTTAGTTTAGAGCATCTTAAGTTCGGTCCTTTGGTTAGACTTTGCATATTTTTGTTTACCAAAGCTGTGAATTGAGCTATCTCCATTTGTTTACTTGAAACCTGGCTGTCGGGCAGGGAAGAAATATTAGTTTAAACTGAAGTTAAGAACCTACAGTCACAAGAAAAATAAATCAAGGGGAGAGAGAAACTGGATAATGTGGGATCGTTTCACTGTGAGCCAATCCTGGTTGCGGACTTTTCCCCCCTGATGACTATCAGGATAGGCAAAAAAACAATCTTAAACAGTTCAGAATTCACATGCCAAGGAACAACTTTTGACTTTTTAAATTATCAATTTGATAAACTGCTAGAAGGAGGCAGCATAGGAAGTTGACAGAAGAATAAAAGAGGAAATCAAAATTTTCTTTTTTTTCCTCCTATAGCACTGGGGTTAGAACTGCTCTGTGTGCACCATATGTAGAGACATTTACTGTGACTAATGGGAATAATGTACTACATTTCATAATACTGATCTCTTGGGCAATTTGAGAAAAACTCATAATTGGAAAGCTATATGCACTATCTAAAAATACTTATCGCAACAAACCCTCCAGCAAAATTTCTTTAAAAAAAAATACATGAAAGAGGCCTTCAAAGGAAGCAAATAAATTTTTCAGAATACTAAGAAAAAGCCCACCCTCCCTCCTCCCATTTCAGTAAACACTTAATCCTCTCAGATGTTTTCCCCTGCAGAATGCTTGTGCAGTTTAAGATGGTGTTTAAAATTTTCAAAATTCCTTCTACAAGTGTATTCCTATTTCCCCTTAGAAAGGGGAGGCAGGGGGCTCAAACTGATGTTAGAAACTGGCACAGATGTTAGAAATTCTATCCTCTTTCCAGAAAAGGACCAAATATGAGCGTGAGGTAATATCCCTTTTTAGCAAATTCTTATTCCTTCTCTCTGGTTCTGGATGTAATTGTCAGTATGTCCATCAAGGTGAGTGGACATCACCCCTAATAGTTATATGGAAATCCCTCTGAATGCAGGATGTTTGTAAAATTATCTGAAATCAGAGTTGCTATTTGTAACATTTTCTATTTTGTGTCAGGGAAGTGCTCTGCAGACAGCAACAATCTAACGCTATGCAGAATTTCATAGTTGATTTTGTGGCTTCAAAAAAAAAAAACAACAACAACAACACTAGCACACAGGTGATACTATCTACCAAATGCTAAACCAAAACTTTTTCTATTTTTATAACTGTTTATTTGCTTATAAAAATTATGTGGAAAGGAAAAAAAATAAGTCATCTGTGCTCAAATATGCAATCTAATGCCATCAATGAATCAGGAATACATTGCCTGCAAATCAAATAATTTAGGAAAATCACTTATGTGGTTCACTTCATAAAAGGTGTGTGTGCTTAATTTTCAGCATGATTACTGGCACACTTTGTAGTCCTGTCTTGACAGCTGACTTCAACATTTCACACAGAATTGAATGACTCTGTTTCCATTTCAATAAATATTTTAAAACTTGCAATCTGAAATGTAAATACCTGGTGCTCCTCAAGATTAATAAGTGATTTCCTATAGATTAGGGTTAAATTTGCTTTTAAAGCACACAATTCAAGTAAAATCATTTTGGAAGTAAAACATCATTAATGTTTGAAGAGATACATCCTTATAAAATACCAACAAACACCAATGTTTAATCTTACCTCTGCTAGCATGGAAAATATATAATTTTTAAATCCTCCATTCTAATTTTCTAAACTCATCCCAAATCTCCTCCTAAGCTCTAATTTCCTGATGCCCAAACAGCTCAATAAAAGGTTTTACATTATCTACAATAATACCTCCAGACTGGCAATTTGGAGTATACATATTTCAAGTAAAAATTGTACAAGATGTTAGTCATGTATGTCTATAATCTGGTGGATAATCTTTACAGGTATGCTAATTTTAATTAAGGGTCAGTTATTCCTCAACCAAAGCTAGGAATGCAATGGGTACATATAATCCTTAACTGAAACTAAGAATGCAATGATAAAAAAACTGAATATTCCTGATTAGAAAAGCACCTTGCAGAAATTCACTGCAGATGCAATCTTCATAAGCACTGAGACTGACTTTAGTAAAACAAACACCCAAACCAGTCTCATTATTCACCGTGGTATCTAACTGTTTAGCTACTTACGTTAGGTATTCGGGCAGTTCTCTTAAAACCAAATACAATGCACCTGGACAGGAATCGTTTTTTTTTTATTACGATCGTTACAGTGTTTTTACCAATGTCATTGACTTCACCCCAAATGAAAGCCATTACTAATAAAAAACAGCATAGCAGACCTTAAGAAGTGAAAAAGACTCTTGTAATCCTTAAACGCTATGTATACTACATGAAGATTGATGTGTCCATCATTTTGAAAGAGATCAAAACTTCTCCTCTTACACATTACATAATGACTGAAACAACTAGAAAAATTAGTGATTCCTAATAATATTTAATATATGTTTCACTAGAAAAGAACTTCATCCAAAGCTTTAGCTCATGAAAATCTCTAAACCCAGAGGCGGACAACTCATTTTGCCGCTGAGGACAGTCTCCCCGCTACATTTTCTCAAAGATGGCTGGTGCAAACGACACCTCATAACTACATAAAAATGGTTGCTCAGATTAAATTATGCAAACGTGGTTTCAAAATAAGCTACTCAAGTTTCAGCGCATTAAAGATGGACCTGCAAAGCATTTGCCATGTTGCGCCTGGTTCCAGCGGAATTTCAATGGGTACCGAGGGGAGCACAAGCCCCACATCATCCTTATAAAGAAAGACTCTGAAACATAAGCCCCCGAACATCAAATCCCATGGGCACATTCACTGGCCTTGAACACCAATCTGTCACCAATGCAAAACAAGACAGAGCCCTAAGGAGGTCCTTCCGATCTCCATCCTGGACTGGAAGCAAAGGGAGCCATCTTTGAAAAGCTCAGTTCTATCTTTTAAAATAAGAGAGTCCAGAGATAGAGTTTTCTAAATGGGGGAGAAATTTTTTTTATAGGAAGAAATTAAAATCTATGTTAAATTCCACAAAATGGCATTTATTTTCTATCTTGCATCATTTCATAATCAGACACCCATCTACAAAGATTTTTCTGTGAATATAAAGTTCCTAGTTTTCTCCTACTTAAAAACAAGTGATAGAAAAATCCAGGGTAATTACAATACCAAAGTAATATCCATGAGCTCCCTTTGTAATTTCAAGGCACAAGGCAGTGGCTGGGTGAGAAGCACATCGAATGTTTCCAAATTAATGATTGGTCAAAGTAGATTTGTTTTCAGTAAGTAGAATTTATATTTTTAATAGTTCTTTTTTCTCTCTTGGTTTATATTTATCTTAAGGACTAAAGAGCTATGTCAAGTAATGAGTTACATAAACCATCAATCATATTTAGTGTTAGCTGAAATAATTTGCAAAGTAACAACAACATGAAATATTTCCATTTTAAATAGTTGGAAACTGTTAGTGGTTGAAAGTTATATAAAATAGCAAGTTTTTAAAGCAAAAAGCTTTAAAAATTAAAGGAGCTTTAATATTCCAGCCAATAGATAGGGAACCATTTTGTCCTGAAATATGAAACCAGCATTATTGATGTCAAACTTGAATTTTCACTCTATTACATAAGTCAGTTTTCAAGACCATAAATATTTCACTGCTATTTGCTTCCCCTTACACCCCTCACTGGTTACATCTCTTGCTACATTTTAATCAGTTTAGGCAATTCCCAGCATCAATACAGCTCCATATGCTCTGCTCCATGCGACAGGTTTTTGCTGTACTTTTTGCAATTATTGAGTTTCGCTTAGTTTCCCCAAAGCGCTCACCATTCACTTTCCTACGCTTCTTAAACTAGTATTGAGGACATCGTCACTAGCTGACTAAACTTTTATGAAAATAAAGATCCTTCAAATAAACCAGCATTCTAGGCCTGGAACTGTCAAAATCTCGAGAGAAGGAAGAAAACAAAACACACCATTTTTACTTTACGTTTCCCAAATGGGCTGAAAGAGCTTCTCAGAACCCCTTGACCATCCCAACCTACTCACGCATTGGGACGACATTGAAATTCACGACCCAAGTCGCACAGTTCACCTGAGTCACAAGAGGGTAATATTAATGGAAAACTGTTTTGCGGCCCAGAGCCCTTCTCAAGGCCCTTCTTGAAAAGTGTCTACACTCCGGGGCAAAGCCAAATAAGTTGTTTACAAACCCTGGTCTCCTTTCCCACCCCAAAGTCACTGGTTGACTCCAGGCCACCATTAAGGGTGGTTTCGTTCGTAAAAGCGTTTCACTTCCACACCCTCACGCGCGGGCACACTCACGCTCAACTCCCCATACATTCCAGAGGCCTCTGAGGACCAGAAAGATGAAAAACAGTCCCTGGGCCATTTTCCCCCAATTTGAACTACTTTAGTTCAAAATAGTCAAGTAACATCGCCGAAAAGAGAGGGGATAAAGAAAAACAAAAGTATTTCCCCCAAATAACTTTGCTCCTTTCTCCCCAACCTCACAGCCAGCCAGAATGGCACCCTATAGAGCGAGCTAGAAAACTTCAAACGCAAGGGGGCCACGCGAGGTTCAGCAGGGACCCGAGATGAAGCCACAAAGAGGGTGCCCCCGGCGGGTCCCAAGCGCACCAACCGTCCCGGCTCCCTTCTCCCTTCTCTTACTTTTGGATGATCTGGGGTAGGCTTGCTTGGGGAGGCGGCTGCATCCCTCGCGGGCCCGGGGGCGCCGAGGACGCCTGGGCACCCGGCACAACGCAGGCATCTCTGTCCGGTTGTTCCGGACCGCTGGGGTCCGCGTCCTGGCTCATGGGTGCTGCCAGCACCATGCGGGGCGAGACCCACCCGGGCTCGCGGCGAGGGAACGCGAGAGAGGGGCGGTCCCAGGGCACGGGCGCTCTCTGGCCGGGGTCCCCGTGCCTAGTCCCCTTGTCCTTTTCGGTGGCGCGGGGAGGAGACGAGAGGGGAGGGGAGGAGGCAGTCCCAGCGGCGCCGCCTCCTCCGCCTCCAGCCGCTCCCGCTCAGCCGGCCGTGCCAAGCGGGGGCGGGGGACAGGGGGCGTCTCCCGGCCGGCGGGAGCTGCTTGGCGGCCAGGGGCCGCTGGACGCTGGGGTGGCCGGAGAAGCTCAACCCGCTAACTCTAGGCTCAGCGATCTGGGAGAGAGCGCGGCGCGCGCCACCCGCCACCGTGCTCCCTCCGGTCCCGAGCCTGGTGCTCCGCAGCGCAGCCCACGGCGTGAGAAGGCGAAACGCACGCCAGCCAGCGGCCCGCCGCCGCGCTCTCGCTTCTCCCGGGAGTAGCGAGGCCTCCCGATTGTTCCTGGGAACGGCGCGTGAGGCCTGGCACCCCTCCGGCCAAGCGGAGCGGACTGAGGCCCGGGGCGTCCGCGCGCATCGCTTGTGCGCTGGGCTTGGCATCTTCCCGCGCGGCTGGACTCCCGCCAGCGCCACTCGCATTTGAGGGACTGGGAGTTCTTAAAATAACTATCCGGACCCTCTCCCAGGCCGGTGGGATCTGTAACCTCGGGTCTTAGATGACCAGGCCCCGAGGGCTCTCCAAATTGGCAATTCCAGCTGCTCATTTCAGGGGTCCCCAGAAGCAACCGTAGTGGCTGTCGTGGATGTCCTCGTTTCTTTTTCTCTTCACTGAAAACATCCCGCAAGCGCAAAACCAAAATCAAGCAGACGTTCTATACTTGATACTTATTGGCCAAATCTCAGTGGGAACATAAAAGTTGTCGAGGAGAGCGTTCTCAGACGTCGTGCGTCCACCATCACCGCCTCTGAACTTCTGTTAGTTGCTCAGGAACCCTGGTGCGCACGTCCACCTGTGCACCCGAATGCTCAGCTGTAGGCGTGGACAATGTGCGCCTTTAAAGGCCCCGGAGCCACCCCGCAGGTGCAGCTTAATATCCTTGGGCTCCGGTGTGTGCTTGAGGAAGCACCTGGTCCCGCAGAAACGTCTAGTAGCTGGACAAAGACCAGGGAAAGTGGCCTTCTATAGGCTTCTTACTGGCCGTCGTACTCACAGACGTTACTACCCCGACGCGCAACCCCGGGCAGCGGAGAAAAGCATGTCGCGCTACCCGGGAAGCCAGAGTGCACACCGGGCGGCCCCACGGCCTAGAAAAGAGTTTGCTGGGGTGCTGAAGCAATGTCGCCATCATCCCATAGCCACGAAAAGGGAAATTCTGGAGATTAGTCTCAGACCCAGCAACTATTGAATTCCCAGAGGAATGTTTCCTCGGCTCTGCTGGAACTTCCAATCCAGCCTCAAGAAGCTATGCCTGCTCCTCTTCATCTCTGCCATCCTACCTGGGTCTCTGTGACATTCTCCTCCTCTCTCTCTCTTCCCTTCCTTCCCTCACCTTTTTCTCCCTCCTCTGACAAGTAAATTTATAGTATCAATTCTTTATATTCATGAAGATCAGATCACAGTTCAGAAAATTGAGTCTCGCCCTCACCCTCAAAACAAAAGCAAACAAACAAATCTCAAGTGAATAGGGATTGATGGCTGTTCCCGTTTTACAAGTGAGGAGGTCGGGGTGATTTGTCCAAGGAAACGGGGCTGAGGTGTAGGAACAAAAGTGTTGTCTGGTTTCCTGAATGATTGGTTCCTCTGTTGTCTTCAATTTCTATTGCTAAGTCTTGACTAATATTTCCATAAAACCCCATATTCGACCTCCACCCCCTCGATTTCCTACGTGGAAAGATATTACCTGAAAAGAGCAATGCAACTCTTCCAAAAAATAAAATCAATTCTTTTTTATATGTTTGCATTGAAATCTCCCTCTGAGAATACTTGAAAACCTCTGAGCAAAGGGCTTTGTAGTCACCAAGACCTGATTTTGAGTCCAGACTCTGCAATTTACCAGTGTCAATTACCAAATACTAAGCAAATTGGGAATAAGGAGACCCTAGCTCCAGAGTCTCCGGTAGGAGTAGGGGTGATGCATCTTCCCTATGTGATGCAAGAGGTGTTCCATGTAGCACTCATTACAGGAATGATTCTATATATTACACTCTTGTAGCCAAATAGAACAATAGATTTCAAATTCCAGGAAGCTGAGTGTCCAGAAGATTATTAAGTCTAACTAACATTTTTGCAGGGAATATTATATTCTTTATAATTATCAATTTTTAATTTAATTCAATTTTTTACTATGCCAAGATTAAACCCAGGGTGGCTTTGCCACTGGGCAATATCCCCAGCCCTTTCTATTATTATTATTATTATTATTATTATTATTATTATTATTATTATTAACAAGTCCTCTCTAAATTGCTGAGACTGGCCTAGAACTTGGGATCTTATTGCCTCAGCCTCCCCAGTCACAGGGATTACAGATATGCACCATCATACCCAACTGAAAGCATATTTTATAAATTTATCTCTCTCCATCTCAGAAATAATGCACTAGCATATGTGACAAAATAAGAAACAATGGATAAATCAAAGTATTCATTGGGCTTTTCTGTTACCCTTTCCATAAATTTGAAATTTTCAAAATAAAATCAGAGAAAAATAAATGTTTTACAAGGCATTTTTTAGAAATCTTACTTCCATGATTTATGTGAGTAGTTCATGTATTATTGTAATTTCTGAAATTGGCATTGGAGCAGGTCCAAAGAGAGAGGGCAACACTGTAGCAGAAATCAGAAGCTCCTTCATGTCCTATCTCAGATCCCCCACAAAGTCTCCCAAGGATGATATTGGACAAACATTTCCATTATGCAAGTCAATATGCATTAAACACTTCCAGTGGAAAAAATTTTAATTTATCTTTTTTCAGTTCTTTTCAGAACTAATGAGAAGGCATAAAGACACTAGCTGAGTTTGCAGCCTGCTTTTGTCTGCCCATCCATCCCCTTCTGAGGCTCTGAAGGGTGTGCTTCACAGTAGCTGTAGCAAGAGAAAGACCTAGTCATTGGTTTCACAAATGGGGAGTGTGACTGCAAGGTGAGGGCTGGTAACACCTCTGTGTTCCACTCTGCAGAGGTGTCCTGTCCCTTCTTGACCCACAGACTATCTACCATCGGGCAGTGAGGCTACTGGTGTTAAACATGTTGAACACTTAAGGCTTTCATAAGTCACCTTGACACCCACAGCTAACTCATGCCGTGGCTGCCGTTATCTGTATTTTATAATTGAGGAAAGAGTCTTAAATAGTAAGAACTTGCTCAAGGCCACCCTGATTTTAAGGAGCAAAAACAGGACTGCAGGTAGGTGAGTCTGTCCAGAGTTTATCACCTCACTCACCCCTTAACTCATCTGTGTTCCTCTACTGTGATGCTGCTGTGTCTTCCAGTGAATATAAAAGGCCACCTGCTTTATGATTCAACTCTGCCACTCATATCTACCCAGATAAATTAGTAGGAGATATCTAAATTGATGGCAAAATGAGAAAATTTAAAGAAATGAAACAACCCAAAAGAAGGAGAGAGAAATAGCACCCAGGTCTCTATTACTCTAAGGCCATTCTCAAACTTGCTGGGACTTTGGCTTGCTCCATAGTATTAATATGTATTAACAGTGATTAATAGTATTAATCACTGAGTTCCATGCTCTGGTCCTAGAAGTCGTCTTGAGCCATATTTCATCTCATATCATCACTTTTCAGAGAAGTTTGAGAACCCGTGCAAGACGGGTGGGATAGGAACCATGGAGCAGAGGTTCAGACTCCGGTCTGAGCTTCTGGTGATCTGTCCTCTATTCAAAGGTGAGAAAGCCCACCTTTCGGGGTGATTGTGAGCATACTTCCCTGCAGTGAGATCATTTAAGATGTGCTGCTGTTCCATTATGTATACTATTACTGTCATTTTTTAGACAACAATTTACTTAGTAGATTGTAAAGTTTGCTAATACCCAGAGCTGGTGGAACTGTGAAATACCTTCTCATACACTGGGTGAAAGCGAGAGTGTGGGTTGCTGCAACTTCTTTGGAAGTGAATTGGACTAGGCCATTAAAATTGCAACAAGGGAAATAGACTCAGCAGTTACCCTTCTGGGAATTTATCCTATGGGTTTATCTGTAGAGCTGCTTGTACAAGGGAGTTGATTGTGGCATTGTTACTAAAAAGGGTGAAAGTGCCTAGCAGTGTGGAGATCTGCTTATAGAAAGATAGTTCCATTTATGTAGGATTACAATGTAATTCTGCAAGGGGAGGAGGTAGACCTCCATGCACTGCTAAGAAAGAACTTCCTTCAACTATCATTAGGAAGAATATAAAAGATCCTCGGTAGCATTGTAGCATGCTAAATTTGTATAAAATCAGAGTATAAAACTTTCTGGAAATTTTATACAAGTAATTATTACAATAAGGACCTCTGGGGGATGGAGTTGTGTCTCAGTCGTAGAGCGCTTGCCTAGCATGTGTGAGTCATTGAGTTCAATTCTCAGCACCACATATACATAAATAAAAATAAAATTCTATCAATAACTAAAAACATAAAGTGAAAAAAAAAATAAGTGCCTCTGGAAATTAGGGAAAGGCAAGAATCTATGACCTTTTTTAAAAAATAAAATCTATAACGTTCAATGACCTTTTTTAAAAAAAAAAATGTGAATGATAAAAGCATTATATTACCAATAAAAATATAATGCTTTTACCATTCACATTATTTTTTTTTTGGTACATTACAATTATACATAATAGTTGGATTCATTTGGATGTAATCATTCATGCATGGAATTTAATTTACTCCATTTCAGTCCCCAGTTCTTTTGACCTTTAATGTTGTTTGAATATTTGAAAAAAATATTTATTGAAAAGCATATTATTTAAATCTTCTTATTATGGACATCATTATTTGTATTAACTAATGACA